ACAGTCTTGAACTATGCATGTGAAGCCAGCTGAGAGGTATATCCAATCCTATAGATTTCTCATTGTTTGGTAACTATTTGCTGCAAATGCAACAAAAATCAATATAAAAATATTACCCACACAGCATTCTACAGGTTACTTGTAGTATATATTATTGGTAAGAGTTGTGAATGCAACTATAGTGCAAGTGATTATTATGAAAATTAAGTTATATTTCATTAGCAAGGTTTATCATTTTTTTTTTACTCATTCAAGGTGGAAGAAACAAACATTTGGTACTTGCTTATTCTGAAGCACAACTCCAATAAAATAGTTGTTGTTTAGTTGTTTTGCATTCAACATGTTCAGTCATTTGCTACATTCCGCGTTGACAGCATTTTATACGTAATCAGTAAACCATTAGACTTGTTGGGAGATGGTACAACAAAATTGAATGTAGGTATTGACTTTGGTAAATTTTACTTTTGGTCGCCACTGTTTATCACTATTAAACTGCTACCCCTATTTTGCGCCCTTTTCATTATCCAAGAAATGTTGCTGTGTCTTGGAATAGTGCGCAGGGGAATTTCTATGATTGACACGATTGGTTGAATAAATCGTCTCATTTGCATAAATTTTCAGTAAAACTGTGCCAAAATGCTTCCCGGTATACAATGTGGTAGTTCAAAATCGACTGCCAGTGATTCTTTCATTACTCTGAAAAAAAATAATCAAAACACTGATGTAAAAGTGTTTTTGAGACAGTCCGACAACTGTTGAAAGTAACCCCATGTTCTTTTATTACGCGATCATAGCAAGTAACGACGTTCATTTGATAGATAATGCAGAAGTTCGTTGATATTTCACTCTAGTTTTCAATAACCTTTAGTGACAAGTTATCGTAGAAGTAACAACGTCCCTTTTACGAATGGATGAAATCATTTTAGCTATTTCTTTACAAAATAATCCTCAACGATACTTAAAAACATTACATTGAAATGCACATGCTCTCAATTGTGTCTATCGCAAAACAATTCGACCGACAACTAGTTTTTACATGAGTGAGTTCAATGTGTGACTTTATTGCGAACGCGTGATTTTATTGAACGCAATAAAACCATGCGTAAAACTCCTGCAAGAAACTAGTTGCAGTTTAATAAACATAGCATTGAACAAGCAAACAATTCCTGAACTCGAATTGAACGAAGAAACTGCCACTGCTGAAAAAGAAATGAATAGCCCCAAAGAAAAAGATGAGTTCATCTTTCACACCACCAAAGAGGGAATAATAGCGAAAAAGAATTTAGTGAGCAGGAGGACGAAAATGTAAGTACGGAGGCTCACATACATAAGGAAATGGTGAATACGAAAACAATGTCCGCCAATCCGAAAATGGCGACTTTGAATTTGGGAACGTCGCCACCCTTTATAGAAATGGCGCCTCCCTCGATGGAAATGATGTCCGGGAATACGGAAGCGGGATCCCCGTGTGAGTGAATGGTGACCGCAAATACTGAAACTGCGAACACCAATACAAAATGGAGTCTCTGTTTCTGTAAATGGCGAAGGCAACTTACGAAAATGGTGACTTTGAATACGGAAATGGCGTCCCCTCGACGGAAATGATGTCCGGGGATACGGAAATGGCGTGATATCAGATGAAAGCATCATATTGTATTTGATAACTACAATATTAATTGTAAATTTCTTAAATTTATAAATTACTTCGTTCTATTGTTCAATTTATTCGGAAATTGTTTTCACTTTTACATGCTTTATTATTTGTAACACATTGATTTTTCATCATGGTGTGCAAACGTGGGAGAGAGTACCGGATAGACACCGTAGACAGATCGATGACCGCTCGCCAAGAGGTCAATTCCCCAATTCCAAGGTTTCTACAGTTGTGCACTTGGAACAGCAGAAATAAGACCCAGGGGGAGAACAGAACAGCTGGTAAAGAAAAAAGAAAACATGAGAAATATTGAGTGATCTTATCAAATTAATAAATACCTAGATTTTTATACCATAGAATCTCATAATAAAATGAACAAACAAGGAATACTTGAACACATAAGTGGCAATTACTATCAGAAGAATACAGATAATGCGTGATACGTGTATTTATGTTAAAAAAGTTCATTAGACATACTAGCAATATGGAAGACAGTGACATTGAATTTTTCGATGAACCGAATATAGAACCACTTGCCTATACGTTGAGACCAAGAACAATATATATAATATTACCAGACTTAGACCGTACGTAGAGCTGGTCGATGGAGTGACGCATTGTAATTATTATTCAAATGTCAAGTGAATTAACAACATCGTCATCTATGTATAGAAATGACTATATTTTTTCTAGAGCTAATTTACAGGATGGACATTTGTGTATGATGGTTGGCTTCTCGAAATCAGTTAGGGGGTATTATAAATATTCTTCTTTTAGGGAAGGAATAAACAATATGGAATTGCGATTTGATGTCTTCAAATTCCTCACCTCCCCTTGAACATTGTTGTTGTACTTTCAATGTGTTATAATGAATGTCTCGCCTGTCACGGTGGAAGGGCGTGAGTGTGCGCAAGCCTGCATGCGTCGAAGATTGACAGTTTCGCATTTATCAGCCGCTTCACTTGTACCATGACTGTCTTGAATTTGTCAATGAGCGGCCTAGAATTGTCATGGTTACATACCCGTATTATGGTAATATACTCTTTTATATACCATAGTGTATATGATATCAAAGCTCGCACACGTTACAAGTTGCAACAATTTATCGAATTTATTGAATGTTGACACTCGTACTCGGCAATGTCAATCAATATTTCGACGAGCTTCATAAAAAATTGATCAATCCAGTAGTCAAATATATCCATCAAGTCCGAAATTGGCCACTGCGGGTCTTATTTTCTTGTAGTTTTCCTCCCATAAAACACTGATACAGCCCGTCTGCGTTCCCGTAGCTTCTTGGTCTAATACAATTCCGTTGTGTTGTATAAAAGTTGTTTTGAGAAAAATATTTGTACAATTTGCCAATGTCATTAATCGATATGTTTATTAAATGTACATTCCACCTTCTTGGTAAGTTAATTGCAATGCTTATTTTTTTTAAGGAAAAATGATTATTCAGGGATTTCTCCAAATTTGTACTTCATAGTCACGGGGAGAGAATGGACCATATTCTAGTCGCGTCTTCATTCTTGACGCCAATAAAACCATAATCCCGCTGCATACCAGGACGCCGCCGGCGACTAAGAAGGGTGTGTTGAAAGTTCCAGAAGTGTCATACAGCCAGCCTGCAATACAAAATATAGAAATTAATACATGGAATCGAAAGTCAAATATATGTCATTATTCAACGATCTGATTTCAAATTAACTGATTTGCTGATGCAGACCCTCGTGGGAGCACGTGGCAGGGTAGTACACATGGATGTTCTTTAAAATCAGTGACCACCTTATTTCCATTGATTTTTTGAAATAAAGACATTTGAAAAATCAAAACACCCTCATTTTAGAGAAAGATATTCTTCTCGTTCTGTTTGAATGTTTATTTGGTGTGTTTGGTTCGCCAACCAAAACACTTTTATGCTTTCTTGTCTTCCTGCTTCCCCTATGACTAGCGGTCAGTCCGCTTTTGGGGTTTTAACATGCGAACATTGAAAAGTGTACCCTTTTTTCCGCGAAATTCGGAGGACACTTGTATGTCCCTCGATTTGAATTAAAGGAAACATATATTTCCAGTTCAGTTGTCATTCTCTCTGCGAATACTTTTATTCAAAGCACCACATACGTAACACGTCATGTTCAATATGGGTGAACACTAAATCCGCCGAACGGGCACAGTGTATCGCCAAGCGGGGGGGGGGGGGGTCCTCACCTGCGCATGCGTCAGATGACCATAGCGTCTCATTGCTTACAAACAAGCGTCATGAGCCTTTGCGTTTTCAGCGTGTGTTGTTATCGTCGCTTGGGACTCCGCGCGTGCGCAGGTGACGACTTTCCCGCTTTAAAACGCACTACAATATCAACACAAACTAATACGCAGTACACTGCCGCAAATCAAAGATGCTAATGTCTGCACATATTCGAAATATGGAAAACGTTTGTGTCGAGAGATATAATTATTTGTGAACAAACAGGTTGATATCCCTTTTTATTGAGTCAGGTGGAGCAGAGGTCAATAACTTATCTAATAATATTTTATCATATCATTACAACTGAATAATGATCGACATTATAAATATGTTTTATTGTACCGAATATAAAACAAAACATAAATCAAAAGTTGGAGACTGTTACAGACATGCACAATAACATAATCGAGGTCACTGAACTTTCATTATTTACTCCAAGTCAATAATTTGTTTTATTTTATTTATCACTGCGCGATCGCGTTCTGTCGAATCAACGCCACGATCTTCAACATGAGATACTGGTATACAATTTATATTTACGAACAAACCTGCGATGGGTGGTCCAAACATGTATCCAACGGACATAATAGACCAATCTAGTGCAGCAGCCGTACCATGGTCTTTGTCTTCTACGCATTCTCTCAAAGCAACCATGATAACAGGTTGGTACGTGCCACAGAATATTCCATAACAAACTACGAAGACGACCAACAGTGCATACGTATGGACAAAAACGATGCATAAAACCGCCATGCCACTGCCCGCGATGGTTAAACCCATAAGCGTTATGGCTGATATGTAACCAGTGTGTACAATCCAACCATGTGACAGACAACCCATCATCCATCCTATGCCCATTAACGTCATCAGAAATGATGCGTTCAGTCTTGAAATGTCCATGGATATCGCTCTTGCCACTATATACATAAGTGTTGTACTGATCCCAAAGCTTTCCAGTAATTGCGCAAAATATATTAAAGAGAAAACAGGGTTTTTCAAGAACAGTTTCAAAACCGGAAGGTTCGAACATTTTATAAAAAAATGTCCAGTTCGAATATGTTTTGTTTTAACTGGACTATATTCTTGCTCTCGGAGCATCGCCATGCTCTCGAGTGAATGATGATATTTTAGTTCATTTTTACTGACATCATCACGTTCACTATTCCCTGCTGTAAGTTTATAAAAAGTGTTCTTCTCGCCATTGGATTCTCTTGGTAGAGGTCTCAATAGCGAACCAAACACAAGTAGATGGACGTCGATGCCAGCAACGATAAACATGGCTCCCCGCCACCCGTACACTTCAATTACAAAATTGTAGAGAGGCGCGAGGCACAATATACCGACACTAACACCAACAAAAGTCATTCCATTTGCGACTGCATAACGTTTTTTGAAATACTGGGGCATTATTAAAAACGTTGAAAACACGGAAACTCCTCGTCCAAAACCTGATAGACAAAAAAGACAAAGAGACGTGAAAAAATACGCAAACACATATTCTGGAGAATGCCGAGTTGGCTGGCTGGGTGGGAGTCGTCACCTGCGCATGCGTCAGATGGTCATAGCGTGCCATTGTTTACAAACAAGCGTCTACCCGTGAGCCTTTGCGTATTTTGCGTGTGTTGTTATCGTCGCTTGGGACTCAATTTCCGCGCGAGCGCAGGTGACGACCCTCCCGCTTTAATTGTAAAACGTTTTGTAAGGATATGGGTACAAAAGTGACAATGACAATTTTAAATAATTAATGTTTAAAATAAATTACATTGTTTCTTACTAAAATTCGCTTTAACAGTCTAAATTTATAGCGTCAGCCACACTACCTGATTTGTTGGGGTATGCTAGCCGTTGAATTCCTCATATGCACAGAATGTGAAAGCCAATACCAGAAGCTAATGCAATGTAAGGCGTAGAGAGCGTAATGCGGCTTCCAGGTGTACAATACTTTCATATTTGCTGTTACCGTTCGGCCGGCGAGGGCCTATCACGCCTACATGTCAGACTACTGTCTTGCTTGTGACATCGATTTGTATCATGAACATTGGCGTTTTATAAAGGCAACCAGTGGGCGCATCCGGACAATGCATTTCATTCAGCCTTTTCCGATATTTGGCTTTGAATATAAGGACCTGTGAAAAAGTAAATAAATGCTACACACTTCTAAACCAAACCATTGATAAATGACCACCCACTTCTAAACAAAATAACGTGAAATGACACCCCAGTCGGCGGCACATACCCGTATTGCACTTCTATGCAAGTACCCCCCCCCCCCGAGTGCCCAAGTTCTAGACATTTCATCATGGTATAAACAAAACATGGCTGCCTTGAACGTGCGTGTTGTAACAGAGAACACTAAACGGCAATAACCATCGACAGTTATACAGAGCTAGTAGAGAATACTGCTGAAGTGACAGAGGCAACAAAGAACTATTCATAATTGCGGTCTGTATAGACAGTCCGGGACGCATGATGCGACGAGTTTAGACCCAGACTACTGTACTATAGAACAGTCTAGCAACGTCTTATTGTTGTAGGTGTGAACTGCCGATCACGCCCATGGGACGTGTGGGAAATTGCTGGTAGTTTATTGACACACGTTTATTCTCAGTGTCTGAAGGTTAACCCGAAGATTTCCGAACACACTCTCATTTACCTGCTTCGTGTGTTTTCGTAATGTCATTCTTTCAACCCGGAGATGAAATCTGTGAGTTTTGATCTTTCGATTGTCGTCGTTACTGTTCAAATCGGCCAATTTTGTGGCGAGTTACAGAATTTCCTAATATTAGTACATAATGGACAGATTTATAGTAGTACATGTATTTCTCATTATTTTGATTTTTCCTAGAATTTATATAACTTTTTCTATAAAAGTCAAATAGCGGTGTTGATGTGAACAGTGTTCCTTTCAGTTGTGTGGTCGCCTCGTATTTTTTGTGGTCAATGTCAATGGTCAAATTTGATATACTCACGCAACTAAGCGATTGAAATCATTTAATATTCAGTAGGAAGCCGATATTTTAATGGATCATACATTTTCGTTATTTGTATAATTACAGAAATATTGAAAATAAGCATAGAAATAACTTGCACACGTTTTTTTTTCACATCTGTGAAGAACTTTTAACCATGAAAAAAAGAAACTACGATCCAACTGATTCTACTCCTTGTGTATATTTCGCACTATCATATACTGATACATGTATGTCGTGTTATTCAACGAAATAATAATAATGGATTTCGCGTTAGTACATTATCATAACATCATTTTACTGACGTAATGACGAGGGAAAAAAAAGAAAGCGAAGACGCAGATGAAAGACAAGGCGAGTACAGGAAATCTGTTGTTTGTCGATGTCAGCCAAATCATGTTAGTACGTCCATGGCCAAATGAACAAAGTCATTATTTCCGTTTACGCAGAGATCGTGTGCCCATCTAATTTTCCGTTGACACTGCCGTTTTAGTTTTCTATCAGCAATGGTTTAAATCCATTCACACACTAAAGTAAAAGCTGCGCTGCTAGTCTGTAATATACTAGTACATGGAGGTAAAAAAGACTAGTAGTAGTCTGAGGCACAGTCCCTCTATAGACCAGTGACGAGCACTGTTTCAAAGAAATACGGTCCGTTTCCAGACCGGTCTATAGAGGGACTGAGTCTGAGGTTTATGCACTCAGCTGCATGCAGTTATCTGTTTCTATTTCTATTTGTATTGTTATTCTTGACTGTTTTAGAATATTTATGCAGGTAGTACTGTGTGTGTGTCAGAGGCTGACCATGATATTTAGTGTTGGTCTAGGTAGTACTAGTAAGTATCGGTAGATACGTTGGGTATACAGTTATGGATTTTCCTGTTTCACATGCATTTGAAATTTCATTTTCCAACACTTATTGTTTTGTATATCAATGTAATGTGATACGACCGGCATTTTTAACACATCTGATGTGGTGCAGAGTCCGGTGCAATTGCCAAGACCTGTAGACAAACCTGATCAGGACTCATGTGGAGACTAGACAAGGTATTTCTCGAAATTATGATAAGGCCACGTCAGTGTATGATGTGATGTGATGTGATGTGAGGTAGGACCCCAAGCTACCAGGCAGTAATGAAGCCTACTCCTGTATAGTTCACTTGTTATATCTTTAGTACTAGTATTACGGGGAAATTCTTTTCTTCTGGGTTATCCACACGTGCCAGGGGGAAATCTCGTCTTGTCTCTCAATCGCGTCCCCTTGCGGTACGGGATCGGGAAAGTCACTTAAGCCTTACAGTCAAATAGACACACACAACGAAATACGTTTCAACTCTCGTCTTTAGTCAGTCAGTCGAACACTCTATAAGACACAGCGCCCTGGGGAAAAGTCCCCAAGACTATCGCAAGGCTGACCCAAGACTCTGTCCCTAGACTGCGTCTCTCCTGGTGTTCTCGCCAAGACCAACTAAAACTACTTTATTCACTTTCAAAACCTTAACCAAATACAAAGCAATTAAAAGACTCTAAGGCGTGGCCTACACACATTCAATCAATCACACCAAGTACTGAACACGTCATATCTTTTGATTAATCGTTCACTACATTAATAACTACGAATGCCAACTGTCAGAAATATTAGTCCGGATAGCGTCGGTTATATCGTAATTAGTTCCAAATCACTGAGAACACTTTATTTTTTCAAAATGGAATTATTTTGTCCATGTTTATTTCATTTATGCACGAAATGTGTGATAATGTAGTGTTGTTATGATAATACAGCAGGAAAACGTGTTATCGTGGGATATGCCTTCTGAAGTCAAAAACAAGACGCCACCTACGGTGAAATTTGGAGAATGGCGTGAAAAGACAAGCGGTGGGCTTCACGAACAGTATTTTTTTACCGTTTTTTATCAAACAATATTCATGGGAATGACCACAGGCGCCTGTGGGAATGACTGGGTCAGAGAGAGATAACACTATTTGCCAGTGAGTCACCAGTGGCACTGGGTAGACCAGTGAGTGAGTCGATATTATATCCACTGGGCGGACCAGCGAGTCAGTGAGATAATATTATCTCCACAGTGGCACTGGGCGGACCAGCTAGACGGTGAGATAATATTATCTCCACAGGTGCACTGGGCTTACCAGCGAGTCAGTGAGATAATATTATCTCCACAGTGGCACTGGGCGGACCAGCTAGACGGTGAGATAATATTATCTCCACAGGTGCACTGGGCTTACCAGCGAGTCAGTGAGATAATATTATCTCCACAGTGGCACTGGGCGGACCAGCTAGACGGTGAGATAATATTATGTAGATGAACCCCTTAAGTTAATAGTAGTTTGTCACTGGACATGATTTTAGTCGCCATGTTTGTCACAATCGTTAGTGTTAGAGAGCAGCAGCTACATTCGTGTGTTTTTGAAACCACAAAAGTTTTAATTTCATTGGAATAAGGTTAGTAAACCAATATTTATTACCTATCATAGTTATTGTTCGTGTTTTGAATGTTTAATATATATCATTGGCACATGTCACAGTATACACAACAGAATGTCAACATGAACATCTAATTTATCTTTATAGTTTGACTTCATTACTCTCATTATTTTATCTTTATAAATTTTATGTTTTTAAATGACGTCATTGGGCTTCAAGTTGTTATGTTATCATTTATTGACTGGCTGCCAGTTTGATTCAACTACTATTGAATATATAAATATTTATAAAGATGAAGGGAATCCCTTTGTCGCGTTGAGAGTATATTTACGATCGAAAGTGGTTGTATGCATTACGGCCTCTCTAAATCACGATGTAAACTATGTTTATTCTATCCCCGGGAGACTGTGTTTAAAATAAAACTTGTATATTTATACATAATATGACTGTTTATACACCAATAAAATAACGTAACTACATTTATTAGAATTTTTCTTGTACAAAAATTAAACTTTTATTGAAACATATAACAGATTTAAAATTAGTGTTGTAGAAAAACTGATGATTATCCTAATTTAAATATTGAAAATTATAGAAATGAAGCAGCTGAAGAAAAGAATATAAAAAAACTGAAAAACTAAACTGAAAAAAAATAGAATTCAATTCCTACATTTTTAAGGAATGAGTTATTCAAGTTAAAGTGAATATTGGTCAGCGTTAAAAAACTTCTGAAATCCAAAACGAAAACCAAGCCAAATTATCCATTACTGGTAACAAATAGTTTAACCAAAAATCAATTAAAAACTAGAAAATCTGAAAGAAAAGTAAATAACAAATGAGATTCATAATCTCAGTATATAATGAAACTACATTGTATTAACAAATTTCCTCATAGCCTGAAATCAAGCCATTCAGAGTGCTCTTTCCAGTGCACTCAAGAATGGCCTGCTGATTCGCTACATAAATACAAAACTGGGCCTAACATTCTGTGTTATCACTGATGACTATAATAACTA